TTATAATGACAAGTGTCATAATTTCTATTAACAATATAATTATACTAAATATTGGATAATATAATAAATAAAAATACATAACGAAAAAATTATTTGATGACTATATAAGTCCCTTTAATTTAATGGAGATTTTATTTATTAAAATTTAGACAATATCTATTCTATTTATATAGAATAGGATAATCAAATAATTGTGATAATTCCAAATGTAACATCGAAAAATTAACAAAGTGACAAATATTTTTTTTAATATTGACCGTGCATCGCGCGGGTACGACTACTAATTTGTCATAATAGTGGAAGAACTGGAAATAAAGGAGCTCCTGCCTCCATATCTTGATCCAAGACTGCAAGCTAAGGATCTCATAACTGGAGTTTGCTTTGCTTCAGCAGCTTCTGGATATGATCCACAAACAAACGCTTTCTTGGTATATTTTCCTTTTCCTTTTATCTTCAAAGAATAAATATAAGGGGTTATCTTTTTCTATATATTCTTTGCATTGATCTTTTTTTCTGATTGCTGAAAACGCAGCCAGTTTTATCAATTCCAAAATAGTTAGAGCCTGTTTGGAAAGCCACCTTGGAAATGGATTTGGGTGTAATTACACAATTTACACAATTTGGCATGTTTGTTTGGCAAGTAATTACTTGGTTAGCATGGAATTGGGTGTAATTACACTCTCCAATTCTCAAGGGAGGTGAGAATTGGTGGTAATTAGGCTGTGTAATTACAAGATTGCCTTTTAGTTTCTTTTCTTTTTTGTTTTTATTCTAATTTATTTTCTTTATAACTTTTTATTTCTATTTTATTAATTTTTTAATTTATTTTTACTTTTTAATTTCTTTTGAAATATTAAAATATTTTTTTTGTACATTATTTATCTTTTATTTCTCTATCTTTACTTCTTGTGATTCCATGTAATTGCTTATATTATATTTTTTTATTTATTTTCTTATTCTATTTTTTTAAACTAGACCTCCTAATATTAGAAATAATGAGTCATTAATAAACTTGGCATATAATGAGTGTGCACTTAAAGTGAAATTTTATTTTTGAATGTGGTTATAAACTTCCGATGTTTCCTAATCTTACGTTTGCAGTGGGACTTACTATTATTATGTTGGAATTTGACATATGTTAAACTATTTTTTTTTAATTTTGAAATTGTGTTATATTCATGGTTCCAATTTACTTGTTTTAGTAGTATTAGCTCATATTGCATGTTGTTCCATTTTTAGGTAGAATTGATATATCAGTTTTGTCAAACATTTGAATAATGTTATGAAATTATATTTATAAATATTAATTTATTTTATCAAACATGAATTTCATGATGTTCTTAGAAAACATATATTTTTAATTTTTGTAAGTATCTAAACTAAATATTATTAATTTAAAAAATATACTATATAAATTATTTTTTATAATATTTGTTTGATTACTAATTAATGTATATCCACGAAAAAATATACATCTTAAATACCAAATATAATATCATATATACTTATACAATTTATAGGCATATATTTATTATATTAATTTTTAAGCTTTTGATAATTACTTAATTCAAAATTTAATCTAACTGTGTAATTATACTTGTGCAACCAAACAATAAACTTGTAATTACACTATGACAAACAAACAAGTCGTTGTAATTACACACCTGTGTAATTACTAGGCTGTGTAATTACCACCTTAGTAATTACACTAATTCCAATTACAGGGTGACTTTCCAAACAGATTCTTAGAGTTGTTCGAAGAATATATTGGAAAACTGAAAGCAATTGTTGGAGAATTTAGAGGCTTAGATATTCTAAGCAACAGTCTTTTTATAGTAATAACCGGCCATATTGACATTCAATTCAATCCAGCTTCCTCTCTAAACCCATCATACAACGAGCTCTTGGTCAACTTTGCCTCCACTTTTTTGCAGGTAGTTTTAATTTACATACACTAATTTTAATTATTTGATGGTTAAATTAAACCTACTAAATTGTAACTGTTTAATTATCTTTGCTACTATTTGAATTTTTCTTTTTGAAAGGGCCTGTACGAGTTAGGGGCTCGGAAAATTGGTGTATTTGGTGTAGGACCAATAGGATGCTTGCCATTTTACAGAAATACACAAGGAGGAATTCAAAGGAAATGTGTCGATTCTCTTAATCACAAAGCATACTCATTCAACAGCAAGCTCTCGACTGAGATAAACTCTCTTATTAACACATTTCCTGACGCTAAAATGGTCTACATTGATTTCTACAATTTCATCCTTGATCTAATCAACAACCCTACAAAATATGGTAAGTACTATGGCACCACTCATTTGTTAATCTTTAATACTACCTCAGTTTCAATTTAGATGAACCTATTTTCTTTTTCGTCCGTGCAAAAAAAGAAGAAGACTCTTTCCTTATTTGGAAACAATTTACCTTTATACAATGATTTATAGCCACACAAAATATATGTGCCTCATTTTACACCACAAGTTCAAAAGTCTTCTCTCTGTTTCTAAACTCTTTGTGGTAGCGGGGTAGAACTCGGAAGGCTGGCCAAGGTTGTGTCCTTCCGAGCGGACGGGGTCGGCCTTTCAACATCGGAAAAGACTTCTCTTCATCACGAGACTGATCGGATCTGCCGTAGATACCCGAGAGATCTTCACAGGCAGGCTAAAATAAAAGACTAAGAGGCGCTGCAACCAAGCAAAGAGTTACGCTTTTATTTCTTTGTTGAGATTAAAATCAAGTTAAAAGTTAGGTATAATGCACGCAGGCCAAGTCAAGGAAAGGACTTGCCCAATCAAATAGGTTCAAATAAATTGAAACTGAGGGAGTACTAAACTATCTTTAATCTTCTACAGCCAGCTACTACTTGACAGGAACTTTTATGAACTATCATTCCTAATAGCTAATCGTTACACAATTCATATCGTTCGTTTATTATAATGAAATTGGAATACAAAGTTTAATTTCATTTTATTTGATTTGTTGTTGCAGGGTACAAAATTGCAGAAAATGGGTGTTGTGCTCTTGCTCGAAACCTAGATTTGCTAGATTACTGTCCCATCGCATGTTCCAATGATTATGACTACGTTTTTTGGGACGGTTTCCACCTTACAGAGAAAGGCTACAGACTCTTAGTTATAGTTGTGACCTTCATTTAGTAGAAAATCTGCAAATTTGACACCTATAGGCTATAATATATGATCAAATTGTCCAACTTGAAAACTTAATTGCTCTAAATAACACCATATCTGTAATTACTTTTATTAATTGAATATACGTAATTAACTAATTAATATAAAGTATATCTCCCCTTAACCAAATGAAAAAATAGCCACGAAGATTTTTATGATGTTCGATACCTACTTTATCTAGGCTTGAACCTTGAGTAAAGCTAAGCTTAGAGTCTGTTTGGATCATTGTTCTCCATCGTTTTATAATGTATTGTATTGTATTGTATCGTATTGTACCGTATCGTTTTATGAATACAATGTTTGGATAGATTGTATTGTTTGTTATTGTTAAATAATATTTTGTTGTTCGGTTTGGTTGTATTATACTGTACTGTAACTGATAAGTTTACTAAAATACCACAATTGTTTAAATATTAAATTTATCAAAAATTATGTATAAAAATAATTTGAAAAAACAAAACAAAAGAAGGCAAAACACCTTAAGAAAGCAGAACAAAGGAGCACAACTAATTAGAATTTGTTACAAAACTTAGCTCAAAGTAATAATATAAAACAAAAAGATAGACAACAATGTAGAGAGGAAGAGAGGAGAGAATCTTATTTCTTCTATGTATCAAGTGTATACAATGTGATGCCAAAATCCTCTATTTATAGGATTACATAGAGGCATACAAAAGAATGCCATAAACATGACATTAAACAATTGAGATCATGGAGGAAGATCATGGGGAGGTTATGGAGGTGTGGGAGTTACAACTATAATGGTGAGAAGTTGTGAGAGTTATCTACATAATGGAGAAGAGTAGTGGGAGTAACTTCTTTAGGAGTTATAGACATCCACTACAAAATAATATTTCATAAAACTCCCCCTTGGATGTCTATAGATAATGTGCCTCGTTAAAACCTTACTAAGAAAAAACCCTGTGGGAAAAAATCTTAGTGAAGGAAAAAGAGTACACATACGCATTATTTGCTGCCTCATTAAAAACCTTGCCAGAAAAACCCAGTGGGATAAAATCTTAGCTAAGGAAAAAAGAGTACAGCGCGTATTTGCCTCCCCCTGATGAAAACATCACTTAATTCTTCGGAGACGACGAATTCCAAGCTTGTATAACAACTTCTCTAATATTGAGATCCGCAATGTCTTGTGAAGAAGTTTGTCAAATTATTACTTGAACAAATTTGTTGAAGAACTTTGGTGAATGTGCTTTATTTTGTCTCCTTCGATAGTCCTTCTTTCAATTGATATAAGCAAACAACATTATCTTCAGTATTATTGGAATCTTCTCTTCAAAGTCAAGTCACACGTCTGTTGTGTGTTGAGCCCCTTGCTTTATCAGTTGCTTATCTTGGCATGACTTAAATAAGTATCAACAATTAACTGCCNAAACAAAACAAAAGAAGGCAAAACACCTTAAGAAAGCAGAACAAAGGAGCACAACTAATTAGAATTTGTTACAAAACTTAGCTCAAAGTAATAATATAAAACAAAAAGATAGACAACAATGTAGAGAGGAAGAGAGGAGAGAATCTTATTTCTTCTATGTATCAAGTGTATACAATGTGATGCCAAAATCCTCTATTTATAGGATTACATAGAGGCATACAAAAGAATGCCATAAACATGACATTAAACAATTGAGATCATGGAGGAAGATCATGGGGAGGTTATGGAGGTGTGGGAGTTACAACTATAATGGTGAGAAGTTGTGAGAGTTATCTACATAATGGAGAAGAGTAGTGGGAGTAACTTCTTTAGGAGTTATAGACATCCACTACAAAATAATATTCAAGTCCCCAACACGCTCCCTGACAGCTACTGGCGATACGCCTGCTCAGAAGCACCTGGATCTGCACATGAAAAACCATACGTAGAAGAGGCGTGAGTACACCACAGCGGTACTCAGTAAGTGCCAAGCCTAACCTCGGTTGGGTAGTGACGAGGAAAGGTCAGGGCCCTACTGAGACAAACAATAAACTAGCAAGATATTAACAGTATCGAAGTCTGAAGAAACTAATGAACACGACGATGTGATAAGACAGATCAATGAAATATAGAACTGCAAGACAAAACAGAAACACAGAGTNAACTTCTCTAATATTGAGATCCGCAATGTCTTGTGAAGAAGTTTGTCAAATTATCACTTGAACAAATTTGTTGAAGAACTTTGGTGAATGTGCTTTATTTTGTCTCCTTCGATAGTCCTTCTTTCAATTGATATAAGCAAACAACATTATCTTCAGTATTATTGGAATCTTCTCTTCAAAGTCAAGTCACACTTCTGTTGTGTGTTGAGCCCCTTGCTTTATCAGTTGCTTATCTTGGCATGACTTAAATAAGTATCAACAATTAACTGCCTTGTAATATGATAATATGGCAGTACTCTCACATGCAAATAGAATGTTTGAAGAACGAACTTCAAAAAATGCCTGCATTTGCATAACCAACAAAATCTTGGCGATATTTGTTAGAATAAACAAATCTAAATCAAGTATTCCTTTTGAAATATAATACTAATTGTATTCCAATATCTCCACATTGAAATAAAACTATATCTTGCTAGCATATTGTTATACTCATGGTTCTAGCCAGATATATTAGTGCACCAATTGCACTAGACACAAAAATAAATCATGTACGCCATGATCGCTCTAATCTACATAAGGATCTGCCGAAGATTTATTTAATAAATTTCTTGGGAACCTTAATATGCTTCAGAACAATTTAAATTATTCAAGGATTTTCATTATATGCATATCAAATGTATTGTCAGACCCCCCACAGGAGAACATGTCTCCTAATACCAGGATATTTAAGAAAATTTTGTGCCACAAGTCGTCTTTATGTCTATCGACTTGATTTTTCATTTCACTTTCAGGTGTGGGGACTATCCGTCCAACTTCACATTTTTCAGGTGAAGTCAATTCATTGCATATTTTTCATTTGGCCAATCATTTATCTGTCCAAATTCCATGACAGATTTGAGCTCAAGATCCTCGTCAATATTAATAATATTGAGCGCTACATTATATTAACAACATCGTCAACGATCATTTTACATCGGTTCCATCATCGCATAATAAAGACATAACTTATCGAGATCTCATTATTTTCAGGTACCTGAGCCTCTCCCATGAGGTCTTATAAAATGTTATGTCATGGTGCTCTTATAAAGCACTTGCCTCCTTATTATGACCATCTTGAACATTTGCTTCCTCCTTCTTCAAGGAGTTTTATCTTTGGAACCGATTTGTCTATTACGCTTTATGCGTTTCATAGACTCTGTCCATCATGGACTTTATTCTATTTGGAGCATTAGCAGCTGAAATATGACATTTAGCTTTGGGTCAGCAAATGCGTCTGGTAATATTTTGGAAATGAATTATCACTTGAACTTCAAGTTCACATTTTCTTGTACGAGGATCTAATATACTCATAATAATTCATTCCATGTATTGCTTTTTTTTCAGCTGCTCATTTTCTCCCCCCTAATGTTGGGATCACCAACACATATCCCCAACCTTCATTGAGACCAATCTTTGTGCATTGTGGTGGCACAATTAAATCATATAGTACATCCATATTTCTAGATGAAAATATTTGGTTCCTGACCCTGAACCAATTGTGATGGGGAGAATTTATCATAACTTGTTGGCTAGATGCGTACAAGTGCTGTTGTATATTAAATAATATACTTAATACAAAATTTCTATTTGGAGTTTTGTTCTCATAACCAATGGTTTAGCTATAATTGGAGGCATACAATTTCTGCTAAACCAACTTGGATTTAAACCAGCATTATCAAGATAAATTATCATAATATATATTCTGGAACTGTGCTCTAATAATTTGAGCAAACAACCTTGCAAAAACCAAAGTGCAAGTTGATAACAAACGCACATGTGACCATACAATAGATGCATCTATTAAAATCATATAATAGTAAACGATCCACATGGCAGGTGATTGGGCCCATACATATATATCACCTTTTATTCGTTCCAGATATCAAGGGATTCAATCCCAACCTTAACTGGTATATCATGAGAAAAAAAACATCACAAGAGAATTCTAATAGAATCTTCTAATTCTTTAATATATGCCAATGTGAATTCTCAATCAATTTTCACATCATAATTGAACCGGGATGGTCAACCGGTCATGCCAACTAATATTTGTTTCAATAAACCTCTAGTTTACTTATGGCATGTGATTCCATCACGATACTTATACATCTGTAGTACAAATAGAAGAAAAATCGGGTAACCTTTCATATTTACCCGGTATGAATATAGTAATATGAAGATATTCAATCTTCCTTTCATTTATAGTCTCAATATGCCAACCACTTTGGCTAATACATTTGAAACTCAAAAAGTTTCTTTTGAGACTTACTACAATATCAATGTCATGAACAATTTCATTCATCCGGGTAGTAACAAATTAGCTCTTCCTGAGCTCTTAATTGATTTTGTACTACAAGATCTTTTGTCACACCATCCATATAGTGAATGTCTCCTTCACGGAGGAAATCATATCATAATAATTGTCATGGTCAAAATCATCATAAGCAAAATCATTTCTTGCTTTACTTTTGCCTTTAATAACCTTTTATAAGGCATGTCAAATTATTTTTGGCGTACCACATGTACGCGACCAATGACATATTCATGTAACCACATTGTAATATTCATTATCTTTATTTCTCTCAAACCTCCCATAGAGGTGAGTTGTTGTATTTATCCAACCATGCATAAGCACATTCTTATGCGTAATTCTTATCACATATGTATTTCAACATTTACTTTCAGGAATGAACCTGCATTTACAATGCTTATCACAAGTCATATTTTCAACGAATGGACTATAATCATGTGAACGTGTCTCGTATTAATAGACCACATTGATACATATTCCTTTACCTTTGAAGGATCATTTTGAGAACCCTTGTCGTTCTCCTTTTTAC